TGGGGTTATTTTTCCCGATGTGCATTACTTTGCATTTATCCACATTAAATTTCATTTGCCATTTTGTTGCCCAATCACTCAGTTTGGTGAGATCTTCTTGGAGTCCCTCACAGTCTGCTTCTGTCTTGACTATCCTAAACAGTTTGGTATCATCTGCAAACTTTACTACGTCACTGCTTACCCCTTTCTCCAGATCATTTATGAATAAGTTGAAAAGGATTGGTCCCAGGACTGACCCTTGGGGTACACCACTAGTTACCCCTCTCCAATCTGAAAATTTACCATTTATTCCTACTCTTTGTTTCCTGTCTTTCGGAAAAAGAGCTCTTTCGGAAAAAGGCTTCTTCCTTGTAGAAAGAGGATTACTAACACCAGAAAACCTTCTCTGTTCTTTCGATTTACTTTCGGAAGAATATGATTGCAGCGTGGACGTAACTTAGGTTTTGTCGGAAAAAAGGTCAAAAGTTTCTGACAAAACTCTGTAGTGTACACATACCCTAGGAAAAGTAGAAGAGTGGAATATTCCCAGCCATAAGATAAAAAAATAAGGTGGATCAAACAGGATTTTTCAAAAAGGATTCATTGGAGAGACACAGGATGTCTGGGCTGGAGGAAAGAAGGACACAGCATGACCAAGATTGGAGGAAGCAAGCTGACGGAGGGCGAAGGTTCCATGTTTCAGAAAACAAGTCCTACTCGGGAACAGAAGACTGTGGATGGCCCTAAAGGGCTCTGATCCCAACCCAAAGAATGCCCAGGAATGGTGAGAAAATGGAAGCAGGGAAATATGTGTAGCGTTGATTATCTTTGTATAGATTTATGTATGTCTCATGGGATTAGGTAATGAACCGTTGTGTGTTTAGATTTCTGTGCAAAGTGTCTCTGTGTTCAATGGGTTCTTACCATGTGGACTTTGAAAGGGGAAAGCAAAAGGCTCCCACCTTTGGATGGAGTTCTGAGCAAAGGGAATATTTAAGCTATGGCAAAGCCTGAGTCAGCACTGGTCCTAGAGAGTACACAGATCAGGGGTGGTCAATAATTTTTGGCCACTTCAAAAAATTTTTGAAGTGGCCCTGGGCCGCCCAGGAAAGGGTGGGGCCTAATCTGGAAGGGGCGGGGCCACAATGTTTCTGAGCTTTCCCACCCCCAGACTATAATTGGTCTGGGGTGGGGGAGCCCCTTTGCCCCCCCATCCCACTAGGTGCCCATGACACTGTCAGGGTGGGAAGAGGCTTCACGCACTTCTCTGCCCCCAGACCCTGAGTGGCCTGGGGGAACATGAAGCCTCCTTTTGCCCTACCCCAGCCCTCCTGCGCTCCCAAGCCCTGATTAGCCTGGGGGCAGGGGAGCTGTGCGAAGCTTCCCTTGCCCTGCCCCTGCCCTGCATGAGCATATGGCACTTTGAAGTGCCATGAGCTCCTCTCAGGGCAGGGGAGGGGAGAAGGGCGGAGGAAACTTTGGATTTGGCCTGTGGAGGCCATTTTGCCCACCCCTGGCACAGAGGAAAAGGGTGTGTTTGCAGCTTTTTGGATGGGTTGCTTGATAGAGGATCTGCACCCTCAAAGTGTGCTCAGGGAACATAAGACAGAGAAAGTGACTGGACTTTGTTCAGACTTTGGGGCTTAAACAACCCAGAGATCCTGTGGTTGGGACTCCTCAGAGCCATCTGGTTAGCCACTAGTTGTGGCACCTGGTCGTCTCTCTGACAAATGCTACAAGGTATCTGCAGCTATACTTCATAGAACAATTTATGCCAAATCAATGTTTTTCTCCTTGCTCTATACACAACCGTAGCAATAGTGCACCAACAATCTCTGTAGTGATCTGTGTAAGAAACATTTAGCTGTAGAGCTTTATGTACTGTGCCTTTACTTGGGTGCTGACCTCTTAGAAATACAAATGAATGTCATGAAAATACTGAGAAATACTGAAAGCTAGAGATACAGTTCATGCTCTCCTTGGGGAAAACAACAACAAAGAGAGTTTTATTTGATGTAAGATGCTACAGAACAGAGTCATATTTGGAGGAAGGGATCCTCTATACCTTACCAAATATTTCTAATCTATTCCCGCCAAGCTTGTTCAGATGGAGAGAGCACTCTGTGTCATTTTTCACTGATATAATCTCAATAACTTTAAAAGCATATTTGAAGGATTTCATAATGGCATCTTTGTATGAAAAAGAGGAAAAAGATGAGTTAGGGGGAAGAATGAGCAACTTGAAATTGCAACTTCAGGAAACAGTATTGCAGCTTAAATTACTTGAGTGTGGAAAGAAATAGGTGCTTTGTCACCATACAGGCTACACAATACAATAATTGCTAATAAAAGTAAACCCAGCAATAAATAAATTAATAATGATCAGAGCTGATTTATCCATTTTGTGAAAATCTTTCATTTATGTTCATATTTTAGCTTTAGTAAAATGGAATGACAGCAAGTCCTAAAGCCAGGAAATGAGACCAGCAATTTGTACAGACATGTATTGCAAATAAACATCTTTGTAATTCTGTTGAAGTGCAGCAGGGAGTCTTGTCAGTGGGCTGCAGAGCCTGGGGCTTTGATCACCCAATTATAGAATGAGCCCCACCTGAGAGGTATCAGGCAAATTCCCCACAGTGAGCAGAAGTTGGCTGAAGTTATGGGTAGAGGGCCAGAGAGAGCCAGGCAGAAAGCTCCAGGAGTAAGGAAGGCTGTGTGGCCCAGGAGCGATCCCTATTAATCAGGGAAGAAGCAAGAGGGTATGACTACACTACAGTGTCAACTCAGGGCTACAGGGACTTGAGTCAGATGACCAGTGTTAGAAAATTTGGGGTTTGAGGGGTCTGCATTGATTCTTAGTCCTATGTTAAAAATTTTCTAAGCTAGGCTCAAATCTGAGGCTCTGGTGTCCACACTTCTTGTTGCAGCGCTGAGTCAAACTTATCATATCCTAGACTCCTGAAATGTGATTTCTCTACACCAGCAATTCTTAAATTGTGGACCCCAAAGTGGGCTGCAATTCCCTGTGAATGGGGTTGCTAGGGCTGGCTTAGACTTGCTGGGTCCTGAGCCCCACTTCCCAGGGCCAAAGCCTGACTGTTCAGTCCTGGGGCACACAACTCAGGTTGCAGCCCACCTACCCAATGCTGAAAGATCTTGAGCTTCAGATTTGCCCTGCCCTCCTTGCTGGAGCAGTGGAGCTCAGATTTTCCCCTCTTCTTCTCACCTGGGGTAGTGGGGATTGGGTGGACTCAGGCTTCGGCCTCTGTTCCTGGTGTCACAAAGTAGTTTTTGTTGTCAGAAGGCACAATGAAGTTTGTGTACCCCTACTCTACACTTTGACTGTGATACACTATTGAACCCTTATTGCCTGACCTGTGTGTTAGGGGAATTTTGAACAGCCTGCTGAGAGACATGGAGGAGACTTCTTTTGCAGAAGTTCTCTTGCTTGTTCTTTCACTCCTGTGTCAAGAAATGGTCAGTGCTTCCATGAGGCCATGATGAACATGGCAGGGGTGTTTTCTGATCCACTAACAGAACTTATGGTGGAGCAGGAAGAGGAGGAGATGGCAGAGGAGGAGGAGGAGTGACCCAGGCAAGGCAGGCTTGAACTGGCTGACACTGCTCCTGACACTTGGTATAGCTGTTGATGCCCCTACATGGACCAGTGCTTCTGATGCAGGCCCACAAGCTCAGACGGGTGATATCAAATAATCATGCAGACCTGGGATGATAAGCGTGGGTCCATAATACTTTCACAAAGAAAGCTATTATTTCTGGAGCTTTGTGAACAGCTTTACTATGTAAATAAACACATATGAGGGCACCTTTGTTGGCCAAGAAGCAAGTTGATATAGTCATCTGGAAGTTGGCTACCCTAGGCTGTTGACATCTGGTTTGGCGTGGAAAGTTGATTGTGGATAAATTAGTGATGGGAGTTTCTAAGCTAACCACGTGTGTGGTTTATCATAAGAGATACGTCTACACTGGCAGCTTCTTGCGCAAGAACTCTTTTGTAGAAGAGTTCTTGCGTAAAAAGTCTTCCACAAGAGTGCGTCTACACTGTCATGTGCTTTTGCGCAAGAGCATCCATGGCAGTGTAGACACTTTGTTGCACAAGAAAGCTCTGATGGCCATTTTAACCATGGGGGCTTCTTGCACAAGAAATTCATGTTGCCTGTCTACATTGGCCTCTTCTGGAAGAGCTCTTGCACAAGAGGGCTTCTTCCTGAGAGGGAGTGTCAGAGTTCTTGTGCAAGAAGCCTCGATTTTCTACAGTACAATATCAGTTTACTTGCACAAGTTTGCACGGCCAGTGTAGACAGGCAGCATGTTTTTGCGCGAGAGTAGCCGTTTTTGTGCAAGTACATGCCAGTGTAGACACAGCCAAGGTGGCTTGCATACAAAATATTTCTGAGGTAATTGCTGGCTAGGAGAGAATGGGATTTCCAGGCTGCAGCATGGCCATAGATGAAACTCATGTGTCCACAATTTGGTCTCTTCAAGGAGGAAATGAGTACACAAATGGCAAATTGTTACACAAGTCCTTGCGTGGCAAAAATGTATATTTTAGTATTGGTTTTAAGACTACAAGTATGATGTGTAATGATTTGCTGTATAATGACTTGCTTATCAGTTTTGTATGCTTCTGTTTCTCTCTCTCTCTCTCTCTTACGATTAGATAATGTTTACTGTAAGGCCTTGCTTCCTGTTAGCATTACAAATTAAGTTGTACCCCTTGTCTGCATCACAAACTAAGTTGTGTCTTCTAGTAACTATTGATTTTGTCTGAAACTCTATACAATTGTGTGGTGTGAGTGGAGGATGTGTGTAAGCGTGACAGCAATCACAGATATCCAGGTGATCAAGAAGTGGGAATCTTGAAGATAACAAGGAAACAGCCATTGTGTCTGAGGCTGAACTGAATTAGCAGCATTAACAGAATGCTGGAGACAGGCAGAGACCCCCAAGAGTGAGGTACAAGGATGGGCATCAAAGAATAACTCTGGAAAACACAGATTAACACCTCCTAAAGATGGATGTTTGCAGCATGACACTTCAAGATCCATAGACTCCAATGGGAACATGCATGCATAAGAAGGGAAGCTCTTGCTATGGGACTCTGGGTTCAGTCCTGCAAGCCAAGCCTCAGAGGAATCTCAGAGGAACCCCGACTCCTCACTCAGTCAGCCTTGCCTGGCCAGTAAGACTGTCTTGAACCACCATGGACTGGTAACTCTGCACCATCTGCAGGACCTGTGTGTATGTGTGTTTGTCTATATAAAGCTTATGCTTACTGCTTCTCTAATGTATTCTCAACAAACACGGAGTATTGCCTTTTCCCCTGGAAAAGATCCTGTGTGCTTCTTATAAGCATAACACTTGTTGACCACAGACAGTTATTTGTGAATTTTAACATGGGCTGCATTGGAAAAGTTCATGATGCCTGTTTTTGTTGTAGAATAGTGATAGAAATGTAGCCGTGTGTAGATGGTTTATTAGAAGATGGTTTATTAGATGATGAGCTTCCCAATTATCACCTCTAATATCATTAGCTCACAGACATTTACCTTCCCTCCCCTCCCCGCATCTCCCTTCTGTTCTGAAATTTGATTTGTCCTTTTCATATGTGTTCATTTTTTAAATTGCATCCTTTGGTATATATGGTTGTGACTATTTTCTTCCACTATTTGATCTGAGGAAGTGGGTCTGGCCCACGAAAGCTCATCATCTAATAAACCATCTTGTTAGTCTTTAAAGTGCTACATAGTCCTGTATTTTGTTTTTGTTGGTTGCTTTTCACTAAATGGGAGTCTATATTCATAGACAGTTTGTGACACAAATCCCACTAAGAGACATTGTCACAAATGGAGTTACTGTCCCTGTTGTTATTTGGGGGAGGATCATGTGTATCCCCTTTTGCCCTGACTTAAGAAACCAGACTCTGGCAACAGACAGTTTAGCTATATTCTCCAACTGCTGAGTCTGTGGAATGCATTTGGCAGATTGAAATCCTGTTGGAGATGCCTGCAGACCTGTTTGGATACTGACGTCATTAGAGCTGTCTGCACTACCATGGCTTGCTGTGTTCTTCACAATCTTTGTGAAGCCAAAGGTGCATCATTTCTGTGACGGGGTGAGGCACCCCCGTCACTACAACCAACAGGGGGGTCAGGACTCCGGAGTTGCGCGCGCTTGTGCCACTCCGAAAGCAGCGATGCAAGCACTGGCAAACACTCACGGGGAGGGGGCCGGCACGCGCAGCACAGGAACTCGGCAGGCAGAGGCAGGGGGAGCGTGTGGGCCAAGCCCCCCGCCAGTTGCAACGAGTGATGTCACCAGCGTGACGGGGGGGGCGGGGCGGAAAGGTCGGCGGGGCAACCAGGTAGTATGACGTCACCCACCGGGTGAAAGGGAGGGGAGGAGGATAAAAGCTTGGGGAAGGACATGGGGAAGGGAGGAGAGAAGGTGGGGATAGCAGGTAATGGGGCAGAGGGAGAGGATGATGTGGGGGAACCCACCTGAGGGATTGCGGAGAGGGTCTCCGGAGGCGGGGTTGAATACTGACCCAGGGCAGGGTCGCGAAGCCCGCAAGTAGGCGAGTTTAGGGGGAAGCCCCTGCTTGCTACCACAGGGAGCACGGTTCCCTGTGTTAGGGCCCTGGGTCGGGGTCCGGGAGTATGGGTGGGCCCGGACCCCCCTCCCTGCTGCCGGCAGGCGATATAGAGACTGCAGTCGGAGGCAAATTTTCCGCACCTTTTGGCCTCTATGGCGTATGTGCAGAGGGCGGGGCGAGCACTGGGAAGCGGCATGGGTGGCGTGTGCAAATAAAATAGCTATGTGGAACAGATAAGTGGATACTGGCTCATGACAATTTTCCTCTGAATGGACCTATGAGAGCAAGGGGCTGCTGAATCCCTACCCTCAGCCAGAATGTACACCTACCGCAGTTGGAGCTGGATGCATCCAGGCAATATAAGTCAGAGATGGTTTGAGCTCCTATGCTATGACTTATATGGGCCAGCGGAAGAAAGGGTATGGTACCTCTATGAATGTGCTTGTGGGAGGGAGCTACTTGATTGTAGAAGGGGTTCAATGCATGGGGTGGGATGGAAACTTGATTGCTGTGCAGTGTAGTCATGAATGACATGAGGACTTGAAATGGGGGTGGATTGTCATGGGGGTAACGGGAAAAAACTGAAGGGTGGGTAGCTGTACTTAACTTTATAGAACAATAGTGTTGACTCATTTTTAATGGTTCTCGATCATGTGTTTAGCTTTATTTCAAGTCTTGATTGTATGAGGAGATGCAGTGAAAGCAACAGGACATAACAAGTTGTATTTACAAATGTGTTAGAACAGGACAAATAGCTGTCATGTGGGAGAAGCAGCAGGAGCCAGTACACTTGCAGCCATTGTTGAGATGAACCACTTAAATAAAGGGGCAATAAAGTGACACCGGCTGTGTCACTCCCACCCCAGCCCAGGGAAGAGCCGAGACAACCTTTCTCCATGCCAGGCCCTGCTCTCCCTGCCCTTGCTCTGCCCCCTCCCCACCTCTTCTCTGGCCTTGTTCCACTCCCACTCTGCCTCTTCCTTTGAAGTGTTGCAGCCTCCCTCCTCTGAGCAGTGCACCGGGAGAGCAGTCATCTGTGGCTATGTTGCTCTGCTTCTGCTGCTGCTGGGCGGAGGTGGGGGCGGGGGGGAGTAGGGGTAGGGGAGGCTGCACTTCAGCTGCAGGCACCAGTTTCCTCCACTAGTCTCCACAGATGCCCAGGGACTCCTACCAGCTGCTGGCTGGTCCCTTGTCCCTCCCACCACTGGCGGTGGGGAGGGGGCATGTGTCTTCTCTTGCCTCCCTGCCTCGCTCCGGCTTACATAGCTCTCAGCTGAGCTCTATCCTCCTCCATTATCTGCCATTCGTGTTTTAGGAACTGCATAGCAAGTGCTTGCTCGTGTGCTAAAACCCTATCCACATTCTGCGTCATCAGCCTGAGCTGTTCCTTCTTCCTCTGGCCTCGCCTCTTCAGCAGCAGGACATTCCTTGCAGGTAGCTGGAAAGGGAATCAAACAGTTTCTTTGAGTATGGACCCAGAATTTGCTGCTTATAGACTCATAGAACTGGAAGGGACCTGGAGAGATTATCTAGTCCAGGCTCCTGCACTCATGGCAAGACTAAGTATTATTGAAACCATATTTTATAGGTATTGGTCTAACCTGCTCTTAAATATCTCCAGTGATGGAGATTCCACAAGCTCCCTAGGCAATTTATTCTAGTGCTTAATCACCTTGACAGTTAGAAAGTTTTTCTTGATGTCCAGCCTAAACCTTCCTTGCTGCAATTTAGGCCCCTTGTCATAGCCTTAGAATTATCATTCTTCTCTTTTTTCCAGCCTAAACAAATCCATTTTTTCCAATCTTTTCTCATGTTTTCTAGACCTTTAATCACTTTTGTTGCTCTTCTCTGTTCCAAAGCCTGCTCTGGGACTGGTTTCATCAACAGTGAGTCTATGCTCCTCACTCAGCACCTGCTCCTGTCTCCCACAGTCTCCATGCCTGGATGTGGAGCCAACAGTGTGCCATACCAGCTAATCAGGTCATCATGCACCATGTCTGTGAGTTGCTCAATGAACAGTTCTGGTCCCTCTTCATCCAGTACCTTTTATTGAGCTACTTAGTCCACTCACTACAATGGTCACTGGTCTGGTGACTCTGCAAAGCTGCCAGCTTGTTTGGTATCTGCTGGCATGCATGATCATTCCTGGTACTTCTACTGAAGTCTGCTGTTTTGCTGGCTTTGCACCAGTGATTCACCACAATCTGGCTGTGCTCCTATGACTATGAAGCAGCATGCTTTGCAAAAGGCTTACTCTGGTCAGTTTCCATTTCAAACCATCCTGTCCATTATATGGGTTGGGGCAGCTGCCCTGGGAGGCCCTGTAGGGCCCAGGATAGCCTAGGGGATTACCAAGAGGGCCTGATACTAGCTGGGACCGCCCCTGCACTTACTAGCTTGCTCAGCTCCATCATCTCCCATCCAGGTCTCTCTGCTTGCCTGCAGTGGCAGGACGTGGAATGCAGCAGTCCCAGCCCCTTCCGCTCCCCCAAGCGACATGGCTGAAACCAGGCTCAGGGGAGTGCAGTGGGATGAGATGGGTTGCTCTGTTCTCATTGCCATGGTAAGTGTGGAGAGGGGAAACTTCCCCAGTAATCCCTTTTGGGGAAGAGGTGCAGTGGAGGCAGGAGGGGGTGGAGCAGGGACGGAGAGAGGTCTGGGGCACAGGTGGGTGATTGTTCCTGGAGTAGCGACAGGATTTGCCTACCATCCCCAAGGAAGGGAGCATATAAGGTCACCACAAGGGTTTTTCAGGTTCAGCACAGTGACTACAGGCTGAGCTGATGACTGGTTGAGGGAGATCCCCAGAGAGGGGGAAGAATTTGTGTAAGACATTTTGGGATGTAAGACATTTGCCTCGTGGGATGAGGTTTACCGGGGCGGTCGACAAATGCCTTTGATGTCGACCGCGGAGCACCCAGACTAGCGCGCTGAGCCGACAAACAGCTGATCGGTTCAGCGCGGCAGCAATTTTAATTTAAATGAAACGGCAATTATTTAAATCGCTGCTTCATTTGGGTATGTCTAGTAAACCAATCTACATGGCTCTGGCGACAGAGCCATGTAGTCTAGACATACCCCTGATTATCCTGGTTAGTGAAAGAGAACTCCTAAGATCTCATGGAGCTCAAAAGCTTGTCCTGTCCGCCAGCAGAAGTTGGTCCAATAAAAGATTCTTGCTTCTTAGGCTGTGATTCAGTAAACCAGATAAACAGTTGCTTAAATCCATCACTGTTCAATGAAGCACTTCAATCTGTGTGGGACTTCAAAGGGACAGACACACAGATTGAAATGCTTCATTGAACAGTGATGGATTTAAGCAATTGTTTATGTCAATGGGGCCCAAGTATATGCTTAAAGCTAAGCACGTATTCAAGTACTATACTGAGTCAAGACTTTTAAAATGTTCAGCCATGTAACTGTGATGGGTGGTCTGCCCAATCAGATTCATATATAGTAAAAAAGAAAAGAGTGTAAACAAGACAATTAAAAGAGATGGTGAGCAGAGGTGATGAAAAGGAGGCCTCAATGAGGAAACCCTGCAGACAAAACTGGAAAATAACAGCATTACCTGCAATTAAGTAAAGCATTAGATCAGCTACAATGTATTGTCAGCATACGATTGTGAAAACCTACCAAATGTCTC